CTGTTTCCCTCTTTATTTTGTTTTTTTCCTCTGTTTTCCTCCATTGTTAGAGACAAGGCTGCACTTCCTTCTTACCTGCAATTATGACTCAGACTTGGAGGTAGAAGACACAGAGTGGCAATTCTGAAGTAAGGACGATGTGCATCCCACCTTTAATTCAATCACCTAATAAAAGAAACCTGCCACCCTGGGAAGGCAGAGTAAACAATGACGCTCAGACACCAGACTGGGACTTGCCATCAAGAATGGATTGGGATATTTTGCTAATATGATCCTGTTACCAGTGCAGTACAATTCCAGCTGGCGAGAGATAGATAGACCCCAGACTACAAGGAACTCACTGGAACTCATTGGAATAATTTGAAGGGAGCACTGGTTTCTGTGGTACTAGACCGCAGACCACTGTGACTGAATAAATGTAGCTAAGTGTAAAAATACAGCATTTAATATTGGCAAGGACAACAAAAGTCTATCAAATGTGGATGTGTCTCCTTACAGGAAGATTAATATTAAGATTTAGATCAAATGTTTGTCTCTACTTAAAGTTCATATCTCTCAGTTTATAGTTTCACATTTTTGTGTCTTTTGTATATTTTTTGATGTTCAGGAGTCACAAATACTGAATATATTTTTTGAGGGGAAAGGAGCATTAGAGGTAGTGGAAGTGGAAGAAGAGCATGAATGAATCCATATCAGATTAATGTCTCAGAATAGACAAAAGAAACTTGCTTGCTCAGCAAACATATGTTCTGAGCAGCCACCTTGTTCAGCTTGACTTATTTCTAGGAGTCGGTGTTCTCTGCGGGTCGATGGTGTGTGAGTGTGTTTATCTGAAGGCGGCAGTCTTCAGTCTGTCCGGGGTCAGAGACAGAGACAAACGCCTCCCCCGGCCGGCTGTCAGCGCCTAGTCACTAATGATGCTGCAGCGCTGAGCTCAGCTAATTGACCAGACAGAGATGGATCGGATCAGGACCTTATACTCTGCTGTGTCTGCTCGCTTCAGTGTGAGCGCGTGTGTTTGTGTGTGCGTTTTGATGTTTTTTGTTCACGGCTGCCTCCACACCTTGGACTGTATCTCCTAACAGGAACGTCCAACTTTGATGCATCACAGCAGGATTCAGGGAAACAGTACGGACAACCCTTTAAAGGCTCCTCGGGCATATCTTCGTATATTCATCCACCATCTGCTGACAAAACTGCGAATGCTTCACTCGTACGTTCATAGAGGTAGTCAGTCTGCAAACTGTGGAGAACAAATAAACCTCGGGAGGTTATGAGCTTCCAGGATCAGGCAGTCAGTGCAGCTGGGTGTGAGATGTGTGTTTAAAGGCTCTGGTTGGCAGGGCTAACTGGCCTCTTAGCATCAAGTTTATTTTCACAGGGAGAGTATCACTGAAGGAATGACCTTGGTCCATTAATAACAGAGCCCTGTGTGTGTGTCTCTTTCACACTCACACAGAGAAAATGCTACACACAAGCTCACACACACACACACACACACACACACACACACACGCACACACACCTTAGATCATAGAGATTCTGCTAAAGCCCTGTTCATTGTGCATTTGGCGCCGACTCAGTTTCAAGTAATAAAAATAACTTTTTAATAAAGCTGCGACCACAAAAAAAGGTGTTACAGTAAAACAAGTTTTTAATACTTTTCTGGGATCCAAATTGAAAAGCTGCATTCTCTTAACTTTTCAATTTTACTGAAAAACCAGTTCAGTTTCAGGTCTTTCCCCTTTTGGCCCCGTTTGCACTTGGCATACAGTAAGCGTGTCTCTACTGTTGGCTCACAAAGCAGTCTGTTACCCAGGCAAGTTCCCACTCACTCTCCTTCTGTCTGCTTCAATGTGTCTTACTTTTGTTTTAGACTATTTTAAACATACTTTCTGTCAGTAAAATCCAAATGCATAACCAACATATTTAAAGCACATGCATAACTAAATATTAGTGCGTTTTGTTTCTGCTGGAGAGTTTGGACATAAGATGCAAAGAGCACAACACGATTAGTTCAGCTCCAGTGTTGTTCTTTGTTTTGTTTGTGGTGGTGTGAGGCAGAGGAAATACAAGAGGGAAAGAAAGTCTGTTAGGGTTTCAACCGATGTTTACAAGGTTGCATGTGCGGCTTGGCAGACTTATTGCCCGGATTTAAGCATGCAGTTTCAATGGTCTAGCCTTAGCCACCGGCCGCATGCTTAAATGTGTGCACAGAATCTCCCTTTGACTTTTGGATAACTTCAGAACTCCATAATAAATGTCAGATTGGGTCGAATAACTGATTGGTTTTTCAGAACCCTCATTAAAAGTTGGAACACTTTTGCCTCGATCCTTTTGCTCGTTCTCGAAAATGCACCCTCACTTTGAAATGGGAAAAGATAACCTTCTCTTTGTGACCTTTGCTCATCTCTCCCTCGTGTTCCTAGGAGATTATTGCACCAGAAGCATCAAAGAAAATACAGAAAGGGTTTGTAAACTCACTCAACTCTGTGTGAGATTTCTGTGCAAAAGAGAGAAAAGCTTAACAAGTGCTGGCTGATGTCAGCGCAGCCTCTGGTCTGCTGAATTCTCTGCAGGGGTCTTTCTCTAATGAAGATCTTTGTCTGTCACTGATTGGAACCCAGTGCAACACGGGGTAAAAAGATCAGATGCATTCACACATTTTTTGATCCCCCTCTCACTGGGGCAATTAGCCCAGTAAACTCAAACAAATAAGGGATACGATGAACCGTGTCCATCAGGGGTGACTCATTAACTGTGATGAAGTTATTGTTGGCCAGCAGACCAATGGAGGCACTCTTGGGGCATCCCAGTCATCCTCACTCTTCAGGTCCGCATGCGTGCACGCCACAGGCTTTGTAGTAAAGTGATACTGTCTGAGGAGATGCTAAAGAAGAAAAGGGGTCTTGAAGATTTCAATATTTGTTGTTGCAAGACCGAGAGACAGAGAAAGTGTGCAAGAGGTGTGTGGGAGGCTATAGTTCTTGTGCCAAAGCCGGCATAATGCTTCATACAATAGCTCGAGTGTGGGTGAGGGGATCTTGGCGCTTGAATGTTCTTTACTTTAGAGGGAAAAGACGTGCTGTCAGGAAGGGAGGAGGGAGAGCTAGATTTCTTATCCTGAGCCCCCCCACCCCCACCCCCACCCCCTACCTTTGTAATTGAATGCAGCCATCTATATGAAGTGGGCTTCACAGAGAAAAGCCTGCAGGATGGGCATGCACTCTTTGTCTCATCTGCCTTCCTCCGTGTAGACAGAAGTACGCTGCAGAAGAGTGAAGCAGACATCGAAATGTCCTCATCTCTGTGCGAGGTTTATGTTGTTACTGAAGCATGGAGGAGTTTTCTACAATCCGGAGGTCATGCCATAACATTACATGGTTTGAATCCATCTACACTTGTAATCCTCTGAGAAATACCCAGAACCCAAAACAGTGAAATCATGAGCACAGAGGTCGAGGAGAGGCGGGGCGGGGGTATTATTGGAGCAGTCTCACTTTACCCTAAACCATGTGCTCTGTGTACTTTTCATACTCCTCTTTTGCCCTTTCACTCTCCCCTCTTTGGGTAATATCTGAACTCATTATGCTTTACGTCTCAGGTTTCAAAACGTTCATTCTTCCTTCATGACAGTAAACGCTCTATTTTCCTTTTCCGAGCCTGCAGTGCATAGAGACAGATTATGACATCTCGATGCTACAAAACGTGAAGCTGTTTAAGAAAAATGCCGTTGTCCTGCTTCACCTCTGTGCTGCAGGTGCTATTTCATGGCTTCGTTCAGTGTAGCACTTGGCGTCGACTGTGGCCGCTGGCCACTGAATGGAAAGGCATGCTTCCTGGTGGCTAATGAGGTGCTGAACCCAGCCTCTTGTTTGTATCAGGAGCACCTGGGCCAACCACAGCCAGCCCAAACCAGACAATGGACTCAGTCTAGCATTTCCACAAAGGTCTGCCCATTCAAATCATCTACAACCCTGGGACACAAACTCCCACACTTCATAAAATGAAGGCAAAACAGAATGCGAACCGAGACTGCCCCATTCTTTTTCAACAAGGAAACTATTGTTTGTCTTCACACGCCCTCTTTCCCAGGCCTTACGATGCTATCCTCCTTAAAGGAACGAGGCAAAAGCAAAACAATTTGGCTGAAATGCAGCACAGTGTTTGTTCTTTGGAAATGTAACACATACAAGAGCTGCAACTGTCACTGTGAATTTCCCTTTTTGAGCTCTGTCTGGCTCACCTGGAGGACAGAAACAGCACAGAGGTCTTTTCAATTTCATGTATGTGAAACGTCGTGATAGCACCCACAACACAGTCTGTAACTGAATTTTTGGAGTGATGACATTAGGTTAAACACAAAATTGCATACTGAATCCTGCAGCTTGGCAGTGAGAATCAGAGACAAGTGTTGTCCTAGTTCAGGGTTAGACAACTCCAGGCCTCAAGCACCGGTGTCCTGCAGGTTTTAGATCTCACCCTGGGCCAACATACCTGAATCAAATAATTAGTTCATTACCAGGCCTCTGGAGAACTTCAAGAGATGGTGAGTAGGTAATTTAGCAATTTGAATCAGCCATGTTGGATCAAGGACGCATCTAAAACCTGCAGGACACCGGCACTTGAGGCCTGGAGTTGCCTATTCCTGTCTTAGTCTCTTTACTTAAACCAGATGATGATGTATGGTTTCCTTTTCTTTCCCAAGCAATCATTTTAGCTCTAATGCCACTGGTAAACTAGAAAATACAATCACTGACCACCTTTGTGCAAAGGTACTGCTTATAAGGTTGGGGGAACCTGCAGTCAGCTGAGACTGAAGAAGTCACTGGGATGAGTGACGAAACATTTCTCCCACTGAAAATGCTACGTCCAGACGAACAGAATTAACCTTTTGGGATCTAAATATTATGTTGTCAAGCTAAGGAAATTATAAAAACTTCAAATGCAAAACACTGAACTGACATTTATTCCTACATTTTGTCTTTTGGTTTAAACAGATGCAGGAAACCGGCTTGTAGCTCAAGAGGCATTAAGAAAACCATCTACTCTACGCCGGCCACCTGCACGCACGGGAGAAGCAATCTCCAGTAAGTAACTGTGAATACGATATTATTTTGACTATACGGCAATTTTCATTTCAGTTTTATTCTTGTAATGCCAAACCGCAACAAAATGAATCTCAGGATGCATAACACAGTGAGGAAAAGATCTTTTAGGTACAAAGGTAGGGAGATGGTTTAAGTAAGAACTTGGGAAGGGAAGACAACAGCTCCCGTTTAGGAGGTAAAAACCTCACAACCAGGCCCAGGGTGGAAAACGAAGATGTAACAATAACAATCAATAGCAGGGTGATGGGGTCAGCACATTGCACATGATACCTATAGAGGACAAAGAACAAACCGCAGGAGAAAGAAGGCACAAAGCTAATGACATTTCATCACACGGGGAGTGAAAAGAGTAAAAGAGCGGTGCTCAGTGGATCATGTGAGATCAACCAGCAGCTTGAGCCTTTCCAAGCATAATTGGGGATGATTCAGGGTCACCTGATCCAGCTCTCACTATAAGCTTTATCAAAGAAAAGGTTTAAGCCTAATCCTAAAAGTAGGTATGCCACATCTTTACATGTCTGATTCCTCCAACTAAAATCTGTTTTTCAGATTGTCTCAACTGCAGTCGAATCACTGCTATGAGCGACAGGCTGAACACGCTGGAGGAGAAGGTGAAGACTTTTACTTGTTCAGACGCAGCATGCGAAACGCTGAGGAACGTGACTGGCCTACATTAAACAATCGTATTGTTTTAATTACCTGCGCTTGCTTTATGTTTTCCTGCACCAGGTCCAATTACTCACAGCTCCGGCCTCCATATCGCATCGCCACCTTCAGGGTAAAGTGGGAATTGCTCCGGAGACCTCGTTACTGATGGGGGCTGTGCCCGCTCAGGGAGCTCCTGGTGAGCAGGGACCTGCAGGTAGGTGTATCCTGCTGTCACATGTCAAGTTTAGGCATTTCCATTTAGTTCCGTCGACGTTTACGTTTAATAATTAAGTCAGAAATCATTCCTTGCAGCTTTTCCTGCTCACTACCTGCACACCTCTGCTCATATCCTATTTCACCCAATGCACACGCACTTATTTCCTTTAACAAAAGTCAGAGTGCAGCTCTCTTTCAGCTCTGTGAGCGTCCTCTCCTTTCCTGGAGTTGAGCCCAGCACTGGCTGCAGCTAAAGACACAGTCATCAGTGTTGTTATACCATCAGCAAGAGAAAGATTTGATTTACTGGACTTTCAAATTAAAGACTTTTATTTGTCTTAAATGAGACAAGCCTGGAGAAATTGAGTGCAGTTTGGTCTACCGCTCTGGCTGAGTTACTCCCCAGTGCTCATCCACTGCTCCCTGTGTCAAAGAAAAAGCTCCCTGATCCATTTGTAAATCAGAAATATAAAACATCTTTCTGAACCAGTTCCTTCTCCCCACAGGATAAACCATTTCTAAACGAGCACCCTGTGAGTTTTCCTCTGGTGCCACCTTCAGGCCAAAGTGCACTCTTATGTAATGCATAGTGAAGGCTTGGTTTAGATTTTCCTCATTCTGCCTGTTCTTCAGCACCACTATGTGTGGGGTGTTGCTTAACTGTTCTGGTGGGGGTTCTGCTGAATAAGTCCTTAATTGATTCTGATTTAAATGAAATCATTTAATGTCTTTACGCTGCTCCCTGCAGGTTTTATACGACTGTTTCCAATAATGGAAGAGCTGCAAATGAAATCTGATGTGTAAAATTGCTTCCTTTTAATAAAGTATTCCCAAAATCACTACAACCAAAGCTTTACACAAACCCCAAGAGTTGCCTAGGTAAGGGAAATCAATTTGCTGAGTTAGAATTAACTGGCCCTTTAAAATGTATATAAAATTGGCACTTTAAAAATGTTGTATTTTCTAGCTAAAACATTTAATGAGCCCTAATACTGACCTATAAACACAATGACACATTCTTCCTGTGACTGTAATTGCACCTCATCCTTTGGTGGATTTTACTCGGATTGTTTTTTATCAAACCTCTCCTGTTTAAATTTCAGGTCCTCAGGGTGAAAAGGGAAGAGATGGGCTTCCTGGCAGAGATGGTAAATTGTAACAATAGTTGCCTTTCAGTTGACGTAAAACTGCTTAAGATGTAAACCAGTTAGGGCTTTGTGATTACTCATGGCTGTTTCCTTCTCTTAGGGAAGCCAGGGTCTCAAGGGCTGCCAGGTCCTATTGGGCCTCGAGGGGGGGCCGGGGCAAGGGGCCCATCTGGAGCCCCCGGATCAAAAGGATCCCCTGGACCAGCAGGTAACGGTGGACTCAAGGAAAAGGTCTTTGTTAGCAGAGATAAGAGTAACAAATAAACCTCGTCCTGTTGTAAAGTTGCATGTGTGTCACTAAGAGAGAGGGCATGTCAGATCAGCTGTTTAGTTATTGCCTATCTAGTCACTATTGTCTGTGGAACAATGGCTAACAAGAGGCCAAAGGGCTATGAAAACAACAGGGGGAGTATCTCCTCCTGACCTGTGTTGTCCATATCCAGAGTGTTTGTCTTTCCCTCAAACCTGCAGACCCTCCAGCACTAAATGCTGGGACAATCCAACCCCCCCTTGAGGCCTGCTGGTAACTTACTGGAATTTGAGTATTTTGCTGGTTGGCTTTGAAAATCATAGGTTTCTAAAAAGTGCATGCTCCAGAAGCAAAGTAGCAAAGTATTTGTTTTCTGACTGTATATAAACTCCCCAACATGTGTTGCTTTTCATGGTCGGCAGCCAGAACAGACACGGGATCATAAATCTGTTCCACAGATTCAGAGTTCAGTTGTTATGTACAGATAATAAATGACCTGCGGGGAAAAACGTAAATCCGGAGGCAGCTGTGACTTGAATAATGAATAAAGATAATGGCGGTCTATAAGTGTGTCACAACATCTGCTCTTGCTATAAGCTGTTATTCCTCTGCTGTGGATCGTGAAGGGAGTGCCTCTCCTCTCAGGCTAACATGTGACCCCTGCTCTCTGCCTGCTGCTGGGTAAAGATGAGATTTGGAGCAAACGCTGAACTACAAACCCACCATGTGACTTCAATTGAAATGAACACAAGCGATACGTATACGAAATCCCAGAGCCTTATGATTTCCATATGCCCCTTTGGTGTTGGTGTTTTTCTATCTCCATTACTTCATAGGTATCCAAAAGCAGCGCTGTGGTTTTCTTATTTTGCTGATTTTTGTTTTTGTTTTTTGAACACTCAAAGAGAAAGATAAACACAGGCCTGGAATGCATCCAGTGTCATGCTAAATGTAGATAAATATGTTTCTTAAGCCAGAGGTTGTGGGAAAAATCAAAAGTGAACATCTGTTGTTAGGAGAAGTGATGTTGTATGATATGATACGAGCCCTGATAACTTACAGGAGAGTCGTATTAAAATGTTGACTAATATTTTGCCATATCATCCCATAGTTGCTCTTGGGAACCATTATCCTAGAAGAAAAACTGAAATTGTTTTCCCTAATATGTCACAAAGGCTTTAAGGAGCTGCTTTTTCTGGCCCTCTGAACACTGTGCTGCAGCTTGCAGCTTGCGATCTTCATGAAGTAGCCAAAGCAGCTGGTTTTGCTGCTGTTTCTTTACTGCAATCAGTAAAAATGTCAAATCAGATGCAATATATTATGCTGAAAATCTGTAAATAATGAAATGTCATTTAGCATATAAACAAAAAAGGTGGTGGAGTGCAAGAAGTTGTGTTCAGCATGCAGCCCGACCTCAGAGGAATCCAAACAATGAGGTCAGATGTCACTGTGGTGCTTTTTTCCATCTTCAAAATAACGCTTGGGGATGACGAGGGTCCCTTTTGCTTATGCGTACTTACAGATTTGCCATTTTTGTGTATGTAGAGAGCATTTAATTTAATGTGAACCAGTCCAAGCAACACTTTGCAGAGTTTATTGTGTTTATTTGAATTTCCCATTGTAAAGATGCCAGCACCGGTTCATTAAAGACCCTCTTCTAGTTTACTACAGACAAAAGAAAGTTTATACACCTCTCCTGTTCAGTCTAGCTCCTGATCTTACTCCACATGTAGACACAGACACACACTCACTCCTAAGAGACACTATGTTGCATCACTCAACACTTTATCTAATCTTTTTCCTCTCTGTTGTTTGTCCTCTTGTCGTCAGATAAGCCACAGTCATTTATAATTCTGCCATGAGCTGTGCCTCTTCAGAGGAAACTCAGGTCTTATTTTGCTGTGACACATCCCTGCTGTACAGAATGTCTGTCACCATGGTGATTTTTCTGTCATGCCTACTCCCAGGCCCACGTGGTCCAACAGGACTGCCAGGAGGGAGAGGTCTTCCAGGCCCGCCTGGCCCACCGGGGCCTCCAGGCCCTGCAGGTTCCCCAGCACCAGCCAGTGCCCGCATCCCAGAACCAGACCACAGTAAGACCCTGAGCAACTAAGAGACCGTATGTAGTTATTATGACACTAATTCACTACAAACATTTAAAGTACCCATTTAGGTTTTTGATAAATTGAATCATTTCACGCTGTTAAGCAGCAAAGTTCAAATTCAGTTTAGTAGAACTAGTAAAAAAATATTTTTTTATTCTAAACGGTTTTTTTTACACCTTTTCGCTTAACTTACTTAGGATTCATTAAGCCATCATTTTGTCTGAGATTCGTCTGTACTGTGCTACTACCAGGTAATGTAGCCATCAGCTGTCAGCCTCAAGCAAAGATGGGGATTTGGGGTACAACACTTCTATTTAACTCCATAAACCCCAATTTATTTTTTTTATTTTCAGTCTCTTTATTGTCAAACTAAAGCATCTCCATCTCAAAGGACGTCAACTGTTAGGTCTTTTTAAAAACAGCCCACTTCCGCTTGATTTGCTGTATATTCCATTTAAATGTGACTTTATTCCTTTTTGTTTATAAAAATGTGTTCTGCTCTTTTACTTTGGTTCCGGTTATGACTTTTCATAACCTATTTTTAACGGACCTAGATGTCCAAATGGTAAATAGGTCCATGTCAGATGTCACCACCTTCTCGCATGAATTGGTGTGTTTTTGAGCCAAACCAGACACTGTTACTCCACGTCCAAACAAAAGCAGCTTGTGTACGCACACAGATTCAAGCAGGGTGACATCAATTTTAAAGACTTCCAGCTTGACTCTTTAAACTAATGTTCACGTGTCTGTAGCAGCCTTACAAAAGAAACAAAGAGAATAGGAAACAGGCAAGATGACGTTAATCCTTTAACTGCTACTTGCTCCTTATTGTCTACCAGCCAAGTAGGACAGAATCAAAGAGTGTTAAATGGAGTCAGAGACAGAGAGATTGACACAGACTTCACATGCTGGGATGAGAACCTGTCCACCCCTGATGTCACTCAACAGCTTCCAGATGTAGGTCGCTCAGACAGCTGAGGGAAGAGGTGGGGTGCAGGGGGTGACAGACAGATGGGGGCCCACACCAGCTCTTCCAAGGTCAGCACACAGGCGGGTTTTATACATGGGTTCAGTGGTAAAAACAAAATATGCAGCACACCCGTTTGCAGGCTCCGGGTTCCTGTGTGGAGACGCAGGCTTGAGGTTGGCATGATTATTTCCGAAACTGTGGGTCATTTCTTTCACATCAAAGTAACAGCAGGGAACATAAGACGGGGGTTCTGTGCAGAGCTTCCTTTGGAAAACACTGGATTATTTGGCTTCGACATCTGCATCAGGATGTTGGAATTCCCGTCTGCAGGACTGGAGAGGGTTCCTAAACCAGCGGCCAACACGTAGTACTTAAGAGCAGGACTGCTTAAAAGCATGACCTCAGTGTTTGTTAGTGGTCGAGCAGATTTTCACGTCACGTCAAGCCACAGATTCCAGTTTGTTGTAAGCAGGAAATGAAGAGTATCAGATACAAAAAAGCAGCCCTGATTCTTTTTTAGTGGTGTGCAACAAGAATCAGGCAGCTGAAGGATGTTTCTGGGTTCTCCTCCTCCACCTTCTCTCTAATTCTCCTGAAGCCTCATGCTGTGATTGGATCTGTGTTTCCTGACAGTATAAAATGACCCAACAAACGTACATTTCCTCTAACATTCACACATGAACCACCCTCTTCAACTGGCCCTTCCTCTTCAAACAGATGTGGTGCTGTTCAACAGTGGAAACTTTTTTGTTATGTCATGTTGAACTTTTAATACGTATCAAACTACAGTTTAGTATATTTTACTGCGAAGTCATGAGATTGAGTTTGACTGTTTATTGGAGTACACTGCCCTCTAGAGGTAAGGCTGATTTGTCACACAAAAACTTAACCATCCACTAAGGTGCCTAACAGGGTGCATGTAGTTGGATCAAGAAGTTCATGTTTCTTATTATGAGATATTTTGCCACAGGCTTCTTTATGAAATGTTGGTGAATGAGCAATTTCTTATCTGGCACATGCAAAATATGGCTCGCTTATCGAGCTTGGCCTACCAAATTAGAACCCAATCAAAAACAACACCATATGGAAATATAACCAAAATATAATTTGTTCTGTGGAGCTCATCAGGAGGACAGATGATGTTACTCATATCACAAGTCTCCTTTTATAGAATGAAACGCATGACAAATAAATTCAACTCATTATTATAACTGAGGAAATAATGGTATTTTAAGAGTTTGTTTGGATAGTGAAGCTACAAAAGTGGAATTTTTTTCTGCTTAAAGCAACTTATTTTAACTTTACCAATAGCTTCTGCTTTCCTTTAAACACACATGCATTTTCTGTTTCAACTTCCAGATCGTGGAAAAGACCCTTTCTTCACCAACACCTTCCACGACTCTCGAGGGATACCTGTTCCAGGACCTCAGGGGCCTCCCGGACCTATTGGTGAGCATTAAACACTCTTAACAGCTTTATTAAAAAATAGTAAACTACAGGACTGAATTCAAAGACACCACAAAAATCAAAGTGGCGCAGCAGGTGGTGGCTGTAGCTCAGGAGGTAGAGCAGGTCACCTACTGATTGGAAGGTCGGTGGTTCGATCCCTGGCTCCTCCAGTCTGCATGTCAAGTATCCTTGGGCAAGATACTAACCCCAAATTGCTCTCCGATGCATCCATTGGAGTATGAATGTCATTAGAAAGCACTAAGTGTAGATCAAGTGCTCGTGAGTATGGGTGTGAATAGGTGAATGAGGCATGTTATATAGAGCGCTTTGAGTACTCCATGAGAGTAGAAAAGCGCTATATAAGAATCAGTCCATTTACCAGGTTAGTAGATTTTGCCAAAATATCAACAATAGTAGTTTGTATGGCCCCCCACGTGCTTGTATGCATGCCTGACAACACTGGGGCTGCTAATGAGAAGACAGACGAGGTCCTAGGAGATCTCCCCCCTCTTCTGCACCAGGGGATCACTGAGGTGCAACGTGGGACAAAAAACATTTAGGTTTAGGTCAGGCCAGTGTGCAGGGCTCAGTCAATGGTATCCATTCTTTTATTCTTTTATCCTCTCCGAACTGCCTGCATACTTCCCCTACATAAGGTCATTGTAGTACACCAGGAGGAACCCGGGAATCACTGTATCAGTGTAGGGTCTGACAGTGGACAGTGGTCATAGGATTTCATCCTGATACCTAATGGCATTCAGGGTGTTGTTGCCCAGCCTGTAGAAGTCTGTACATCCCTCCATGGATATACCTCCTCAGCTCATCACTGAGCCACTACCAAACTGGTGCAATGTTACTGGCAGTAAATGTTTTTCATTCCTAACCAGATGTCCAGAAAAAAATAAATATCCTTCAAAAACAAGTCCACACACTGATGACTACACTTAGGTGTGGTCACAACTCTGTATACACTCTAAACAAACTCAAATATGCAAAATGAAAACAGCCCCTTTGCATTGAATGAACAAACATCTTGTGCAGTATCTCACTGTGTTATGATCTTTTTCTGTGTTATTATATTTTATTGTGTACAGTTAGGTATATTTGCACACTGACACAAGTTTTGGTTTTCTACCTGTTTTCTGAAACATTCTATAATTTTAATAATAATTCTAATTGTACTTATATAATGGACATGGACAAAATGTGTAGACGCTTTTCATTTCAGTTTTCTTTTAAGGGTATATGCAGCCAAAGCTCTCCATGCAGGCTGCACAAGCCATCCTTAAGCTGCGAAAACAGAAAAACCTATCCGAAAAACTGCCACAATGGCAGGAGAGGCAAAATCTATAGTTTGGTACATCCTGAGAAAGAGAGAAAGCACTGGTGAACTCAGCAATGCAAAAAGACCTGGACGTCCACAGAAGACAACAGTGGTGGATGATTGCAGAATTATTTGCATGGTAATAATAAACTCCTTCACAACAACCAAGTGAACCAACACTATCCAGGAGGCAGTCATTTTGATATCCAAGTCTACCATAAAGAGAAGACTGCACGAAGACAGCGTGACATCCAAAGCAACCCAGGAGTTTATTAAAGCAAAGAAGTGGAATATTGTTGAATGCCCAAGTCAGTCACCTGATCTTAAAGAAATTAGGCATGCATTTCATTTGTTGAAGATGAAACTTTGGACAGAAAGGCCCACAAACAAACAAACAGAAACTTAAAGCTACTGCAGTAAAGGCCTGGCAGGACATGAAAAAGGAGGAATCCCAGCATCTGGTGATGTCCATGAGTTCTAGACTTCAGGCTTTCATTGATGAATGACTGAGCTTTCAGTTATTAAATATGTCCAATTACTTTGAGCCCCTATAATGAGTTGAGTTAAAAATGCTTTAGTTCCTCACATTTTTATGCAATCTTTTTATTCAACAAACTGAATTAAAGCTGGAAGTCTGCACTTTAACTGCATCTGAGTTGTTTCATTTAAAAGTCAATGTGTTAATATACAGAACCAAAAATTGTCTCTGTCCATATTTTTATGGACCTAACTGTATATACTGATGCCTGTCAGATTCATAATCTCCACTGATCTTTCTTCTCCATTTTGAAGATAAAGGCTTTGATAACATAAACTTATGAACACCTACAGGTTCTGTGTGTCACTATGTCAGGTTAAAAAGGTGTAAAACACAAAACTCTTGTGCTAATATAAATCTTTTAATCTGTTTTTCAGGTCCCCCAGGTCCCAAAGGCCCGGTAGGACCTCCTGGTCCAGCAGGACAAAATGTAAGTTTGCTCACAGCACAGCAGTGCACGATAGTCACTGCATTAGATTTGTTTTTGTACAAATTTATCTGTGTCATTTTCAATTTCCTTTCTGCCTCAAAACAGGGAAAACCTGGAGTGCCTGGAACGCAGGGCCCCGTGGGGCCAAAGGGAGAACGTGGGGAGAGAGTGAGTAAACTTTGGCTTAGATTATTGATTTGTTGGATGGAGGCACAGCGCATTTTAATTACATTTTTGAAAATATAAAATGCTTAGCTAAAAGACAAGTTTGTAGACATATTCAGAGAAAAGTAAAAAAGCACATGCAGTGCAGTGCGGTACAGTAAGACAATATTAGTTTATTATCAATATTTATTAACATGTTCTCAATGCAGTTAAAGAACATAATATATGCAAGACAATCAGATGATTCAATAAGCAAGTACATGTTTATTTAGATTTATATGTGCGGTGCTTAATGTCTTCAGACTTTTATATCTCATACAACGATCAACCCATAAATATGTTACTTTTGTGCGTTCTTCTCTTGCAAAAATAATAATAATATAAATATTAAAAACACGAAAAAATTAACATTTTATCTTCATGGGATTCTATGTGTTCCTCATCATAATCCCCATCATTCAGTAACTACTTAAACCACTTTTAGCAGTAATAACTTGAAGCAACTGTGATCAGCGTGAAGAATTTTGGCTCACTGTTATTTTGTTGATGCACAGCTCTCTTAAGGCCCCGTCACAGCATCTGAATCAGGTTTTTGACTTTGTCTGGTTCATTGTCAACGATTCTTTTCACTTCCAGCCATTCTGTTTCAGATTTTCTTCGCTTCTCGGTTTTGTCTTGCTTCTGAATTTGGATTTGTTTTTGTTCCATAAATGGTGATAGAATATAATCAGAACTATATAATGATGATTTTTTTTTTCTGCTATGCTCTAATATGTAAAACTTTAGAGGTGAGAGAGAATGTGCTTTCTTTTTCACAACCATAATGTTAATGAGAACTATCGAAGGGGAAAAAGCTTTCGTTGTTGTTTTTTTTTAAGGGACTCTTTCGAAAGATTTGTCTGTTTTTTCTTTGTTTGACAACTTAATGACACAAGTCTTTGATTTTGCAGGGACCTTCAGGTTACCCGGGAGAGAGGGGCTTGAGAGGCGAGCCGGTAAGCCACCTCTGCATGTGGAAAAGGGGAGAATATCAACACCCTGTCATATTGGGTTATTTTAGTATAAACTACATTCACCAGCAGCACTGCAAACCACACTGACCAACAAAGCTGCAATCAGAGAGAGAATGTGCTCTTTCTTTTGATGTGAACTGCTGCATCACACCAATTTTTCTGTTAACTTTTCTTCACAGGGAGCACCAGGACCAAAGGGAGAACCGGGAGAGAAGGGATTGCCGGTAAGATACCAGCTGCTGGTAGTTCACAGTTCAAATGGTGACACAAAGCCTGAACAAGAAGTCGTAGTCAGGAGGTTTCAAAAATTTTAATATTAGGCATGAAACGTATACTTAATCCTTACATTTCTTTCACTTGTTTCTCATTTTACAAGAGCAATCCAAATGTAAGATATTTTTATTCATGTCATCATCTGTTCACTGTGTAGCCAAGTTCTCAGTTTATGCTTTGATCTGTTTGCAGTCACCATATTTGTGGTGGTGATTGACCACAAAGTGGTGATTGAGCAGCATCTTTTTTTCTCTCAGGCTCAGACTTTTCAGACTGTTTATTGTCACGTGGTCTCTGCTTTACTTTGTTGTTTATGTTTGATCATATATGACTGTAGCTTTTGATCTGTGTGTGTTTGTACGTTAACGTGTTTTTGTTTGGTCCTCGGGGTGTGCTCTGGACTGCTGTCCTCTTGACCCTAAAGCTCCCTCTGCAAGCTGCTGTCCCCATGGCTACCTTTCACAGTCATCTTTTCAGCATCTGACTTTGGCATATACATCTAAAAATACAAAAACATACCAAGAGAACAGCTCGATGCGGTCACGTCCTTTTAAAGGCAAAATTCTTTATTATTCCATGTGAATTAAAACAAACTGATTTCACAGACTATCGAATATTCAGTGACTCACAGACAAAATGTGCGAAATGTATATGCCAAATCACTCCATATGTGTCAGTGGTGGGTGGTGTTGGTTTAGAGGTGTTGATGTGGTGTGAGTGGAGTGGATACAGCTATCTCCTTTTCTCCCCCAATGCAACCTTGCATGAATTTGTCCTAAATTGCTATACTGAATAAACAAAAGCATATCTAATATCTAATGACTAATAACAGAGTGCGGTTAAAAACAGAAAAAAGGCAAAGTAGATGTAAACTTCCAAAGAGTGTCTGTGAGGCTGCATTAAAGCCAACAAGCATAATAGGTTTACTGATTTTTAGGAGGTGCGGTTTATTGATAGATTAAACTTTTGACGTGATTGTGATGCAGGATGAATAGTCAGAGGATCAAGACTCATCCTGAGGGGATTTTGAAAACCTGTATCAAGTATCATGGCGATTAACCAATAACGCTAAGATATTTTACTAAAACCACAAATACTCGCCTCCAGCTCATTCAGGAGATGATTCACAAACAAGAATTTGTTCTCTGGAGACCATCAATGTCTTAATAAAAACGTCCTTTGTCCCAAATCTGACATAGTTTAATCTGAATCAGAAATGCTGCTGCCATCTCTAAAGTTACATTGTTTATAATAACTTTGCCTTTTTTCTTTAAACATAAGGTTGTATTTATTGCTGCATTTTGTAGTGGGAATCACCCAAATCATCAGCTATTGTCTGCACGCTCTCTTTTGTGATGTCGACCCTTTTAGCTGTCTCTGTATGCCCTATATTTCTTTTTCATCTACTTGTGTTCTGTTTGAAGGTATGACTCGTGAATTGTTAGCTCATCCTTTAACAAAAGACAACAGACTTGGGAGTAAATCTAATCTGGCTTCATACTGTCAGGTGATGGTGGGTTACTGTTGTAACCACAGTGCTAAGAATGAAACTGTAGCACTAAAGCAAACATATTTTCCTGGCTGAACTGCTGCCTGACAAAAAGATGCAGATGGCATGATCAAATGCATATCCTGGAACAGTGTTATGTCACCAGCATGATGCAGGTCCATAATGTGCATGCTGATGTTGCCCAGCCCAGCATGGCAGACACTGACTATATATGGAAGCATGCTCCGAGAATGAGGGCGGCGTAGAGAAATACAGGGAATGGATAATGTCTGACAGTGCTGGGCAGATGTGTGGACTGTTTTAACCTTCTAACTGCTGGACTGTGTTGAGAAAAATGACTTGCATCTTGGCGAGCAGTTCTTTAGCTTGTGCTCCTTACCTTGACGGCTGTATCTATCTTCACAGGGGGACGGAATACATCAGATCAGAGAGGCGCTGAAGATCTTAGCCGAGAGGGTTTTAATCCTCGAGACTATGATCGGTATTCATGGTGAGTAGGAGGCCTGCGGCAGGGTCAGCTTTAGGCAGGGGTCAAAGGTGGGCGACTCAAACCCCCACTCTACCTACCGAGGGGTGGGAACAGTCACGAGCAGCCCCAGGACTCGGGCTCGTGTTTCCACACCCTCACACAGTCCACCCCTGTCACTGCTCTCTGATAGGACATTAGCTTGCAGATGTTCCACAACTTGCAGGCAGACCTTGAGCTTCTGACTCGCAGGGTGACACTGCTGGAGGCTATCATCTGGCCAGGTAACGCTGAGACACCCTCACCCGCAGAACTGCTGGCCCCCACTTACCTTCTTGACGAGATCTAAAGTGTTAGAAGCTAAAAGCAAATTCTGATAATCAGTAACGGAACTACGAAATGTTGTTGTAGATGTATTTTAAGAAATGCAATCCTTTAAATAAGCTGTTTTGGTACTATGACACATGTGATCCTACAATCTTCTGCCAAGGTTTTACTTATAGATGTTTGTGGATTTTTCTCTTCTCACAACTTTAAGTTTGTCTCACTTGGTACACTTCTGAGCACCAATAATAATTAAATAATATAAATATTTACCTAATATTACAGAATTATCAGCTTGTTTCATAGCGAAGTAGACAGACTCAGAGGTCTACACCCTGACAAAAAAATGATTGAAAATAAATCTGTCATTTAGCAAGAAAATGTGCCAAACTGTCACTGGTTTTGGCTTTTCCAGTGTGATGAATTGGTGCTCTTCTTTTTTAAATTAGCTCATCTTTTGGACTCATTCTGGACCATTTAAAGGGTGCTGGAAAATTAAGATGGACATTTTTCCAACAAGCTTATAAGAAACACACAAAGCATATTAGTCAACAACATATTAGTCAGCTGCAGCTTGCCTAAAACAAGTTAAGAATCCACTTATAGGTTTGGATTAGGACTACAAAGTGCACACATACTGGTGGAGAGGGAAGTGCCGTTCCAACTGCTGTCTTTCTTCAACAGAGCCTGATCTAGGGTCTGGGGATGGACCGTTTGGCACATCCTCCCCTAGTTTCTACAGAGATAAGCGATCAGGTTCAATTCCACATCGACTTGCTTCTCCTCTGTCCTCCGACACCAAGGTTCGAGGAAAGTAGCCACCCCCTGGCTCACCCTGAGGACCACAGGCGGGGGGAGAGGCTTGACTTCCCCTCCTATAAGTCTCATCAACACTCAACAGAGTTAGACGTTAACTGACACCCTCTCTGGGCTGTGCCATCTAATATAGGATGGGGGACACCTCAGGGAAACTCCACTGGTACTCGACAATGCCCTGCTCCATCGGGAACCTGAGAACTAGCTCGAACCCCATCCATCGCCATAACCAAACAATTTACCTTTACACAATACTTCCAGCTGCTCTTTCTGTTTTTCATTTGTTTGGCTACAGAACTCCAAGCCTCACAATTAGGATGATGAAAAAATCTGAATCTTCTGTGGTGCTCCTCGAGCTACAAACGGTCCTGGAGAATAAAGGTCATTTAGAGTAATCATGTGAAAGAGAAGTCAGATGTGAGAGAAGTGACTGGATTTGAGTTTTTGTTGCTTTCACAATATAACTGCAACCTAAACAGAATTCATTATTTAAGCACATGGAGTCTGTACAGTTTGCGGGACACGACTACACAAACAAAACTCCTCCTATAGTATGTAATTTGTTATGCTTCTATCATATTGTTTAACTCAATGTTATGTAGTGCACTAAAAAGATGAAGTGATCCGTTCACTAACTGAGATAAGTGCTGATAACGGTGATTTGTACTGTTCTGGTCCCTCCCCTCCTCCTCTAAAGTATGTACTGATAAAGCGTTTCGACATTTAAACTTGGTAAACGTGCACAAACGTTTGCATCTTGTTTAAGCCTCCACATATTTAGAAACGGCCATAAATGATGTTGCAATCTGGAAACATGTTGAAAGGAAAACAGACCTCACAGGATATTTCATGATCTTTAGCGCACACACACACACACACACACACACACACAAATATGGAGAAAATGGCAAAACTGTTACGTTAACTTGAATATACTTTTACCACTGTTGTGCTGGTAAACTGCTTATACTGTTATGATGAAAAGACTTTTTTTCTGCATTTATTGTGAAACTATTTAAAATGAACTGTAGTTTATTTTGTATGCTGTTGTGTAACCATTTCATATTTTTAACTTTTTCTTGCAAAATGTTTTACTGTGTTAATATAATCCTGTCTAGATGATCGGTGTAATAAAATAATGTCCACTGTTTTTTATTTTTTTATTTTCGTTTTTTTCTCTTTTTTACATGACACCAGTATTCATTAAACACTTTGATAAATAAAATGACATCCACTCTTTCCACCATACATTTATCTTTGCATATACAGAAAATCTAAAGTCTGCATCTACACTCACGGCTGTAATTGTTATCAATAAAATAGTTTTTCAATTAACCCATGGGGAACATACTGAAGCTCAGCAAAACCCAAGCATAACTTCGGTCCAGACTTGTGAGGCGAGTTAGGTGTTTTGTGGTGGCAGCGGGCTCTTCCCCTTAGATACCACCACAGCTTGTTCTCCGATGCTGTCTTCTATAAGCAAGGAGATGGCGCCATCTAGCTGTTTTGATGCTGCTAGAGCCACAACAGCTTTTTCTGTGGGGAAGCCCATCTTCTCCAGCTGCTGAAGACTGAGAGGAAACTTTCTGTAAGTATATATAAAGTACTGTGCAAAAGTCTTGAGCCACCACTCACGACACTGCGCACCATGATATGTTTTCAGCTAATAGCTTTTGGGAATCACTTTGTTGGTGCAAAACTATTTTATATTTGTCAAACTGTGTTTTCTTAGGGAGTTTTCAAAGATTCAAGCAAAAAAAATTGAGCTAATGACAAATAATGTATTTTTGTGACAGGCTGCTAGTAAAGTGTCTAAACACAACCTTTTATATGCTCGAATGATTGATAGGTCGGTGTTAAATGGTTTAAAAAAAAAACAAGAAAAAAGAAAAGGCATTCCTGGATTAAATAGAAAATACAGGGAAAAGCAGCCAATGTCAGAAGACCTTCAAAGATTGCTCAAGACAACTTAAAAGAAAGTCTGGAAGCACACTGTAAAAAAAAAAAGAAAGAGGGATGTCTCAAGACTTTTCCATAGTATTGTATTAGAAAAATGAGTAGTACTAGGTTTAACAAAAACCCCATACATACACACACATCTGCATACTGACATAACATTCAAGATATTAAGTTATTACTAACCGCAAAGAGGAAACCGATGATTTAGGAACCTCCACTTTTGCACCAGGATCATCGGGAGCATCCTGTAATGAGGCCAGTATCCCCGCCCTAAGCATCTGCTCCTCCAGCACCTCTGCCTCAGCAGTCACAGTAGACTCCTCCATTATCCAGGCAGGCAAAGTTTCAATCCATGAGCGGTGGTTTGAAGCAGAAGGTTGGTTCATTGGGACAGCAGCTGACTGATCTACAGGCATCGTCTGAGAAACTGGTTGAGATCTGTGACAACACATGAGGTTAAAATGTTCAGAATAAACACAAGTTAAGACCAATGAATGTTCATTGAGACTTGTGATGTGAACGAAATGAGTCACACCTGTGTGAGGTAGCGTAGCTAGGCAACCTTAACCTGGCTGTGGTGGAAACATACATCCAGTCAGGGATGAAATCCAAGACTCTGGACTCCTCCAGCTCCTGTAACATCCCGATAAAGGGCTGACGATCTGAGCGATACATTAAGTATTATATAGAAAGACTTATGAATATGGAAATGAACATCATCACAGATTTGATCGCTTTAAACCTGGAGAAACAAATTGAGAGTTCAAGAAAAATAAGAGAAAAGTGAGCTAATAGTAAAAGTCCTAATAAGTCAAAAAACAAGTAAAATTGTTCCTCTATAAATCACAACATAATGCTTTTAGTTTCAAACAATTGCAAAATCGGGGTAGGATACAGTTGTGCCCAATGCATATTGCACAGAAGTGAAGCAGAGCTGGTGTCCCGGGCAACAGCAGCAGACCAATCAGCAGAAAAAGCCACGGGAGAAACCAGACAGGCAGACATCTCAGCACCCTCCTCTGTGTCACCTGTCGACACTGTGCTGTAAATAAAGCAAGCTGGACGGCAGAGAAGCCAAAGATCCGGCTCGCCTCACCCCCACCAATAAAGAGGAGCAGGGTGTAAAGAAAAGGTAGTGCAATGATTGTCAGGGTGGAGAGGACGAGTAAGGCGACTGTCCCCCAGCGGCGCTCCTGACGAGATCCAAGCAGCAGCACCAGAGCTACACTGACCAGCAGAGAGGGCAGCTCATCATGGCTGAGAGCATACAGGAACACATCTGAGGAGGGGAAAAGGTCATGCATATGTTTTGATTTTCACCGATTCTTGTCTGTGAGATCTGAACTCAAAAAAAGAGTTACCTGTGAACCTCGGGAAGTCTCCTCCTGGACCAACACTGAGACTTGCCTGGATGCCCCCAGCATACATCAGTAGCATGAGTGTTACCAATAAAGAGGTCCCCAGGCAGAAGCCAGGACGACCTGATCCAAACCAGAACCGCACTGACGACATACAGTCCAGCATTATTCACGATTATTCACGATCAGCTGTAGTTTCTCTACTCACTTTTTTGGGGTTTTGTTTTTTGCTATAGTGGCATAATATTGGTAAACAAACATATGCTGGTTTGCATAACACGAAAAATAGTTTGTGGCATTAAACTGAACCTATTATTGTCCTCACAGCATTAAGACAGCCCGTCAAAGATCCTTCAAACTGAGGTTAGTGCCTGCAGAAATTCCACCAAAAGACATGAAATATCTAACTAGTACGACAACCTCTAATTTCTTCTGATCGTATATAAAATAGCCATATCCCCAAAGCGTATGTGAT